AATATCGCACCGAGAGATTTGGATATCGTTACATCTCTGCTGTTGTTGCTTCTGTAAAACTCTTAGAAGTGTTACCAATGGACACATTTGTTATATTGTAATAAAATGTGATATAATTACTTTTTGACCAAATGTGCCAAAAATATTTTCACAAATTTATTTATTTATTTATTTGATCCCCATTAGTCTTTACTGGGTTAAAGACTATTGGAATAATTTAATATAATTTAATTTCCAAGTTGGAATAATTTACAATAAAAAGTTCCATTGTAATAAAAATATATATATATAAAGAAAAAAATAAATACATAAATAAAAATCACACGTAAGTTCATACAGTCCTGTTCCATAGTATACTACATCATAAACATTAACTATAATATAACTATCATATATCCAATAAATTACAATGAATAATTTGTGACTAAATATAATTATGTACAATTTCCAATATATTTCTTTCATATTTTCTTAAAACTTGACTCATGCGTGTTTTATCAGTAATGTTACCAGTTAAAGTGCAGTTGGAAAAAATGGTAAGACAATTTAAAAAAGTAAATAAACAAATTAAAACACACATACACAAAATGACAAACTCTTCTGTCTGACAAAAATCATTTTTATGCAGAAAATTAGTTTGCAACTGAATTCGCCATGTCCGAAAATGAAAATCCACGAATATTTAACCTAATATATTTATTTTCAATTCACAACCAAAAACTCATCATAACAATGTGTGCAACTGAATACCAAAAAAAAAACTTAATTTATTTTACACAAAGATGAAAGAATAATGAATTTTTTTCCCCACTTGTAACAAAACCAAACAAAACACTCATTTTAACGTCCACAAACTTAGGACGCACTCACACTAGGACTTTAGAACCGAAGTTTAAAACGCTTTTAGCAGAGAAAATAAGTCCAGCGGCATGAAATATTGATTAAATTGTGAGGCAGATGTGCATCCTGTTGAGATATGTGCTGCTTTATGAGTTTATGGATAAAAAAACAGCGCCGTCCACAGTCCTTATTGAAGCTAAGCGCGGATTTGTCGAGTGTTTCGGAGCGGTTTATTCACGTTTTTCCTCGCGTGAGTGACATCAGCGCACAGACAGGGCTCGTACGGTAAAGTCGCGAGCGTGCGGACGTGAGCAACCACGCCGCGCTTTGTCCCACCTCCTCCAACCGGGCCAAAGTCCGAACCGCCCCGCGATCTCACCCCCTCCCCGGCCTCCCTCACGCTCTCCACCGCCGAACCGCTGCTCCTCTGACCTTCCTAGCGCCGTTAAGCTCGCTCGCAACATCATGAAAGGAGCGCGGGATGAATTTTTAATGGTCCCTGGAGGCAATTTGCTTTAACACAAATAGATACAATCATAAACAAACAGGGGCCCCTACCCAGGAAGCACATCCAAGAGTGTCACTATGAATTATGGAGATCTGAGGAGCGCACACACAGCCCTGTCAGCGGGGGGCCACATGCAATTCTACCATATAGTTTCTCATCATAAAAACATGTTTGAATGAAAAATATATGTATACAGATAATGCATAATGGAAAAAAAAGAACACAGTTGATCTCATTATAGAGTTTATTATAAAGTAGGGAAAAAAAAAAAAGAAACATTACATTTTCATTTTCTGATGTTTTAATGTTGTTTCCTCATCGCAAACGTATCTGGAGTTGTGTTTTGTTTAACACACAAGTCCTGCGTATATAAGTGAGTTCTTCTCTCAAATTGAAACGCAGTGTTCCACCTTGTGATGTCACGGGGTAATACAGGAAGTGCTCCATTGTGTTTTTAAACTCAACTCAGCTCGCTTTCATTAGAATCATTTGGATTATTTCAGATTTGGAATTGCTAATCTCTACTGAACTGAAACTAAAAGGGAGATGTTAATTTGAAAATTACCGCTTGATGACATCACAAGGTGGAACAGAGCATTTTGAGGTTTGAAGATGTGGACAAATCTCTGGCTTAAAGCTCACAAAGGTCAATTTAAAGCGTAAAAATAAACTTGTAATAATACTCTAACACTAAAAAAACAAAACAAAGAAAATCATTTACAGAAGTGGAATTTTCTCATGACAGAATATCAGAATCTAAACAGACCATAAATTAACATTTTAAATTATGCAGAATATCTTAGAAAAGAAAAAAAAAGAAAAAAAAAAAAATTAGACATGTTTCCAGCAAATGCAAATTATAACAGCGTATTACCTTTTGTAGTAAAACAATAAGCACTTTTGACTGAGAGCAATTTGAATACCCTTTATTATTAGTCTGTCTACATCTCCAGATTTCAAAATGCTCTGTCCCACCTTGTGATGTCATGAAGTGGTAGTTTTCTCGTTAACAGCTACATTTTTACCTTTAGTTCAGTAGAGATTGGCAATTCCAGGGCTGATATCATCCAAATGTTTCTGGTGAACGTGTATGGAGTTTACAAACACAGTGGAGCACCTTTTGTATTACCACATGACATCACAAGTTGGAACATTGTGAACTAAAAATGCAGGATGTGTGTGTTTAAACATGTGTGAATGAAACAAAACACAATTGTAGGTCTGTTCTTGATGAGGAAACAACATTATAACACAAATCAGAAAATAGCGTGATACGAGCCCTTTAAAATGACTACCGTATTTTTCTGACTATATGGCGCACTTACTTTAAATCCTTTAATTTTCTCAAAACCCGACAGTGCGCCTTATAATCCGATGCGCTTTTGTGTTTTCATTCTGTTTGCGTTTACTGAACTCAAGCCGATTTTATGTGGTACACAGCATTAAAAAATCTGTCAAAATATTTTAGTACGACTTTGGTAAAGTACGAAGCCGCACCGCTTGATGGATTGTCAGAGCATTTGCAGAGTAAAGCCCAATTTACGGTCTTTTGAGTTTTTTTCAGCGCTTATAGTTTATGGTAATGAGCCATGTGGTTTTAAGTTTAGTTTCTGTAAAGCGTAAACAAATATGCACAAGACTGCCTTAAACACATTATTACTCAATGTATATTTGAGTCCTTCTTGGAGGAAAAAAAACAAAAAAAAACAACTACACATTCATCAAGCGAGTTACGCCACGATCTGCCAATGGATCGCGGACGTCTGGGCTAAGGGATCAGATAAGTGTCGTCCGTTTGTTTCGCTTAATGCGCCTTATAATCCTGTGCGTGTTATGTTTGAAAATAGACAAGAGAATTCAACATTATTGATATTGCGCCTTATAGTCTGAAAAATATGGTACTTTTACAGCTTTTAAACCCAGTAAAAATGACGTACGGCGCCTTTAATTCGCCATTCCACGCTCCTTAGTTAATATTCCATCAAGCTAAACATACAGAAACTCCTCATCTCGGCGCCGTCTCCAACTTTCAATAATGCACTCCATTTTCATAAACACGTCAAGTCCAATGTGGTGCTTTTCATTAGATCCTGCTCACATTTAATTGTACATCTTCTCCATAATGTGACAGGTCGGATTGCCACTCTTACAAGTTGACAGTCAATCGCCGTCTGGAAAATTAAAAAGTCTCCGCGTAGACTGCCCGCTTTCATTAAAACCTTGAAATTATCTCCACGAAAAAAAAAACCTCAACAAATAAATAAGATACCAGCTTTCAATCACGGGGGAGGGATGGTCTGACGCTCCGGATAGGCTCTGTGGACAAAAGCGCCTAGCAACCTCACCGTTACCGTCACTACTTCTTGAATAAGTATTTAAAGGTGCATTGTGTAACTTTTCTGGTGAAAGGTCCGTCAAATGCTTTTCTCCGTGGAGATGCTATTGCTTTATATAGAATGTTTCGCAGTATGGTTTTAAAAGTTTCTTAGGTTAGGTTGCTGTATTCGTACCCGTAGGTAAATTAGTTTTGCAGATTTGAGAGGCTGGTCCCATCAACAATTAGTTAAATTCATTCATCACGCTTAACTAAAATCACAAATAAATATTTAATATATATATAAAAAAACACTGAATTTTTCCAAAACAAACGTACAAACTAAAATTGATAGATAAATAGATTACAATTTATTCATAAGTATGACAGCGGCTGGAATGAAGCTCCTTTTAAAATGGTTCGTTCTAGATCTTGGGAATCTTCCATCTTCTATCTTCGTGGAGACCAAACCAGACCAAGTTACAGGTCAGATCTGTGGAGAGGCGTCCCCACTGACAGTAAGAATGTCTGTGGTTGTTTTGTTTTTTAGGTATTTTTGAGAAATAAAACCACTTGCAATTGAATAAATGAAAGGTAAAGCTGTTTAATGTCATACTGTGGAACATTCCAGGCCAAGAAATGACCTACTGTATCCGTAGAAACGAGCAGGTGATGGACCCCCAACCAAAAAGTTACGTAGTCTCCCTTTAAAACTACAAGTACAAAGGACAATTCTGTATTTAGAGAGGAGGTTTGTTTATCAATGCTAAAAAAAATTGAAGCATTCTGTATATAAAAAAATAATGAAGTAGTCTTTATTTTAAAAGTGCACTATGTAACTTTTTGGTTTGGGAGTCCATTACTTGCTTGTTTCTATGGATACATCATTGCTCGGCCTGGAATGTTCCACAGTATGACATTAAACAGCTCTACCTTACATTTATTCAGTTACAGGTGGTTTTATAGCTCAAAAAGACCGAGGGAAAAAAAGCAAGCGATTGGACTGTGAGCGGGGTCGCCTCTCCACAGATCTGACTTGTAAGTTAGCCTGGTTTAGTCTCCTTGAAGAAAGAAAGGTTTAATGCCACACTGTGAAACATTCCAGACAAAGCAATAACATCTTCACGGAAATAAAAAAGGCGTTTGATGGACCTTCCACCAGAAAAGTTATACAACGCACCTTCAACAACTCGGAAATTTGAATTAAAAAAAACGGAAATATAAATAAAAAAACAAAAGCCAGTGTGCCAAGAGCATTTACGTTTTAAGATGGTTGAGTTTCAGCGGTCAGTTCGCGTCCACGGTCTAATTATGTCGCTCCTTCTTACCCCTTCGTAGACATCAGGGAGAGCGGAAGCCCCAAGCCCGTTATGGTCTTCATCCACGGGGGATCGTACATGGAAGGCACCGGGAACATGTTCGATGGAAGTATCCTGGCTAGCTACGGCAACGTCATCGTCATCACCGTCAACTACAGACTCGGCGTTCTAGGTAAGATCAAGAGTTTTTTTTGACTTGTGCTGCTGGTTGCTGGTTGGAAATGCTGGGAATTGTTGTACATTTTTGGAATTGTAGAGCTGCTGTTGCTTCTCGGATCTTTGTTTTGGATTGAGATGCACCGATCTGATACTGGTGTCTGATATCGACGCAGATACTGAGAAATTTGCTGGATTAGATATTGGCTTCCAAATATCAGTTCAGTCGATATCCTAGTTTGGCCTGGTTTGTAAATTCATGCAGTGGTGGATGATGTTACTTAAGTAAAAGTACAAATACAGAGGCAAAAAGTTACTCCAATAAAAATAAAAGTATCACATCAAAAAATCTAAGTAAAAGTATTAAAGTACCTGTTTAAAATGTTACTTAAAGAGTAAAAAGTACTATTTTGCAGAGATTTTTAGAACAATTAAAGGATAGTGATTTTGGTTTTTAGCTGATTTTAATTGGAATTTAAGTGAAATTTAGTTGATTTTAAGTGGAATTTAAGTGGAATTTTGTTGATTTTAAGTGGAATTTAAGCTGAATTCGGCTGATTTTAAGTGGAATTTAGCTGATTTTAAGTAGTTCAACTGATTTCTTATTTTTTGTAGATGTTTTTGTGTGTTTGGTTTGCTCAGAGTTGGAGCAGAAACTCAAATTAAATGTGCTAAAAATAAGTCAGCCATTTCAGCTTGTCTCAAACCACAAAGAAAAGCACTTTTTACTTTTCAGTCCAGATGTAAAATGTAGAAAATACAGATACATGTTTTCAAATGTAGTGAAGTAAAAGTACAAAGTATCCACAATAAAATGGACTTAAGTAGATCCCTAAAAATTGTACTTGAGTATTTTACTTTTGTACTTTGTTACTTTCCACCACTGTACATAACACATTTGGATCAGTTTAATCTTATTTTATTGGTGTTGTTTTGAGTCTCTGCTCTGGTATCGGCTGATATCAGGAATGATCAGAAACTTAAAGCTTTAGTATCGAAATCGGTATCTGGATCGGTGCATCCCTTGTTTTGGGTAGTTTTTAAAAAGTTTGGTTAAAATGTTTGAGTACTGGTAGCAAAGTTGAAATGGGTTTCTGTTCGTAAAACGAGACAATTGTCGAGAAAAGCTGTTCAAGAAGTTGTATTGTATGAGAATTTCAACATAACTTTACTTAAAGGTCCTACATTACGCAAAATTGTTGTGAGTTTTAAGTCAAAAACGCACCTGGAGTTTTGTTTTGTTTCATTCACAAGTGTTTATTATTAGTCTGTCTACATCTTTAAAGCTCAAAATGCTCTGTTCCACCTCGTGACCTCATGAAGTGTTTTTTTTCTTCCAAGTTAACAGCTACTTTTTACCTTTTTGTTCAGCAGAGATTGGCAATTCCGTGGCTGAAATGATCCAAATGATTCTAGTGAAGATTGATTGAAGTTTAAAAACACAGTGGAGCACTTCCTATATTCCCACGTGACATCATAAGGTGGAACAGAGTGTTTTCTTTTTGAGAGAAGAACTTGCGTGAATGAAACAAAACACAACTCTAGGTATGTTCTTTGACGAGGAAACATTACAACATAGATCAGAACATGACGTAATATGAGTCGTTTAAGCTTTGTAATTCTAAGTTGTCGATTTGGGGTTTTTAGGCTTGTGTGTTGAGCTGTAGCGTACAAGTTAGTATTCTATTTGAGATAAAATAGTTTCCAAAAGTAATGGAAAGGGCTGGAAGTAGAATGCTTCAAAATATTGGCAAGTTCTTCGCCGGTCAGTGTGCGGATGCATTCAAAAGATAGTTGTGTTATTATAGTAGCTTTGGTTCTTTCTTTATCTTTTTCTATTGCTGTTTTTCGTTGGGTCTTTTGTCACGGTCGAATTCTGAATCTACCTTTTGGGGAGTTTTGAGAAAGTGAAAAAGTATTTGACTACCTGTAGCAAAACTGACATGGGTTTTGGCTTATAAAACATCAGAAATTCTGTGAGGAAGTAGGTTCATGAGGATTTAAACAAAACTGTACTTAAACCTTGTCATTCAAAGTGGACTATTTTGGGTTTTTACATTTGCGTATTGAGCTGTATGGTGCAAGTTATAGTATTCTTGTTTAGAGCTGAAATGGAAGCTTTGGAAGTTTAAAATCCTTTAAAAATATTAGCTGATTCTTCATGTGAATGCTTCAAAACATAGTTGTGTTGTTATAGTTTTGGTTCTTTCTTCAACTGTTTCTTTCGCTGCTTCACACTTGCATTTCGTTTGTTATTTTGATAGTAAGCTGTATGTTTTGCAATATTGGCAAGCCTTGACCATTTTTTCTTTCATTGTATTTCTAGTTTTATGTGAGCTGGTTAAAGTCCTCCTTATAGTTCACCTTGAAACCTGTACTCCAGGGGTCTCCAACCTGTAGCTTTCCATCCCCTTCCAAGTAGCTCGCCAAGGGATTTCAGAATTATACCTATTGCGCTGAATAACTCAAATTGGATTGATTAAAAGGCTATTAAATAAAAATATAAACATCTAACTGTGCCCCATCTAAGGCTGTGGCTCTTAAATTTACTAAATTTCTTGTGACTCCTAAAATGAGGAGCACTTTGGCATTTTCATTCTGAAAAAGTAGCTTACCGGAGGAAAAAGGTTGGAGTCCCCTTTTTTTCTCCAGCTACTACAACATTTGTTTTTGTTTTCTTTATTGTAGCATCTTTTAGCATCATGTAAAGCAAATACTACTTGTTCTTATGTTATTTTATCAATACTAGTACTTTTTAGCGAGTTGGCTGGTGTTATTGCTCCTGACTATCTTTCCACCGTGCTCACTTTTGTCTCTAAACACTCCTAAATCGACTTTTTTTGTGTGTGTGTGGTGGCACTTCCGGTTAATCGGGAATCAAATTCATGTCAATAGAGAATTTGGGAAATGTTTTGCATCTTAAACATAACATAAAGTCGATTCATTTGTGTAAAATATTTCAGTTTTCATGTGCACCAACAAGTCACGCTGCACCGATTCGCTTTAAAATGGCTTTATCGTCCGTATGGAACTTATTTACTGTCAAGATCGGCAGCCCCATACAACCCAAATCATGATGGCGATGCCCACTGCAGCTTCCAGGAACAGGTCGATATATTAAGCCTGTATCAGCTAATAGAGAAAGGATCGCATTATCATTAGCCTCTAGAATATTTATGGAGCGCTCAAGAGTTCTATAATAGGGGTCTTCAACATTTTTCAGGCCAGGGACCCACTGATGGAGAGCTGGAGCAGGGACCTCCTACTACATACATGGCAGACAATTGTGTTTTATATTAAACTGGACCTAGTGTTGTGTATAAACAGCTACTCTGTTATTGTACATTCAGTACTGGGGGAGTATTCGATAAACAAGTCCAGTCTTATCCTGAAATCCTGAGCTGAATTTAGCTCCAGCTCCAGTTTAAGCGTCAACTCGTTCCATGACAGAAATAAGTCTGAGTCTGACCAAAGCTAATTCAGACTTGAAGCTTAAGCTGCACTTTGTGTGCTCACGGATGGAGTAAGGACATCACGGAAAATGGGCTCAAAATGTGTCTTTTTCTGCAGCACATAAGGACCTATTGAAACCTAAATTTGTTTGCTCAGCACAAATGAAAGTGTGGTTGTATTTTTAAAACTAATAGCCGTATATAATGTTTCTTTGAACTCGTGAGAAGATGGCATTCGATTAGTTTTGTTCCTTTGTCACGTGACGATCATAAGGGAGACCAAGACAAATTGGCAAATCCGGCCGCAAGCGAGTTGGTCTCAAAAAAATAAAATAAAAAAATACCAGTACTTCTGCAAGTTGGCAGCATTTTGGCTTCAGGCACACATTTGTTTCTTTCTGTGACAGAGGATGTGCTGCTGATGGTGAGTCTGTTCTGTGCGTGTTTCGTGTTGGAGATGGTTCATGTGAAACTTTTCAGAGATCATAGAGAGTTTGCAGGTCATACACATAGACCAGAGGTGTCAAACTCATTTTGGTCCGGGGGCCGTATCCAACCTACTTTGAACCCAAAGGTGCCGGATCAGAAAACTCATGGCATATATACCCCAAAAATAACAATAAGTTCAAATATTTGTGCAGAGAAACGCAAATCTATTACAGAAATCTTTTTTAATGGATGAACTCTTTCTTTCACAAAATATTATATTATGAACAACCTTAAACTTTAAGAAAAATGCAATTTCAACACAATGTTTTAACATTAACTTGGATGCAAATAGGAATAAATCAGTTTTTCTTGGAAAATCCTGCACTCGACTCCATTTTTCTCATTTTGGACATTTTTCTGATGAGGGTGTCACGGTCAACAGTCAAAACGATCGTCCTTTAAGAGCGTTTGGAAAGTGGTGGGAGGGACCACGCACAGAGGCGCTGGAGACACTGCTATGCTAAGCGACGCAGAAAATTAACAATATTTTAATAGAAAATATAATTAAAATATTTCAGTAGAAAATTAGCCAAGGGCCAGATTAAAGGTCTTGGAGGGCCGGATCTGGCCCCCGGGCCTTATGTTTGACACCCCTGGCATAGACCGTACAGCAGTGTGGCTTCGTATCTTACCAAAGTCATACTAAAACATTTTGGTAATACGGTACACCCCGGTAAAATCTTGAGAAGATTTAACAGTATAAAAATCTAGATACCGCCCAATCCTAGATCTGACTGAAAGAGAGAAGAACCACAGAGCACACGGACAAGAGTTTGATTTGGATCACAGAACCTTTCCGCTCATTCTGACCTAAGGAGCAAGAGGAAAAACATGACTACCCCTCCTCTCCCGGTCAAGGAAAGGAGGCTGGCTGCGTAGTGCGGACTCCAGAGTTTGATTAATACGCCCGAAGTTGCCTCACCCCTTCCCGATGTGCGGTAGTAGCTGTAACGGAAACGTGTTACCTGTTCGCCGACACCTAACTGTCCTGTTAACATGCCTGGTTATTTTTCTCTACATGTATGTTATACCTGTGTCACCGTATAAGTCGAGCGTTTTCATTACTTTTCCAAAT